GTGTCCTAACATTAGCCTCCTGAGTAGCAAGATTACAGGGGTGAGACACTAGTACCCAACTTAAATTACTTGTAATATCAGTAGTTAATATTTTTTTTAAATTAAGTTCAGCTAGCCAAAGCTCAGAAATGACAATATCACATAAATAGGTCTTCCACCCTCAATAATTCCTGAGAGCCTGGCCTTCTACAGCTTAAGTTCCTCAAGCAATATTCACTTGTCCTGGAACCTGTACATAGGTTATTCTCTATGAACATAATACTGTCCAATTCTCAACTCCTTGCAGAACCAATACTTTCTAATCCATAACTGTCATTCCCTCAGAAAGGCCACCTTCTCTTACCATAACTATTATTCTTTCCCATGTTTTCTCATTTTCCTATCTGACATTTGCTGCAAGGTAAATTATGCACTTAGTACATTTGTTTAATATCTCTTCAATTAAATATCAGCATCTAACAAAAAAAACAGTTCAGATTTCAAGTTTATTTATAAAGTAGAGGAAGAAAAAAAGTAATAAGCAACCATTTTACTTCCATTTAATGGAAATCTCATTCATTCTTTTTTGGTCATAGAAGATTGTCTTCCACCAAATCAAATAACCCCTCCTTGTAATCTAAGAATATAGGCCAGGATAAGATTATAGGGGGAGGGAGGAAACAGGGGTGGGGATAGGGGGGTAGAAAAAGACATTCCAGGTTAAATGACCCAGAAGCCTGTCAGTTACAGAGTTGGGATTTACACTACTATACCACCCTACCAAGACTTCAACCCAGGTTATTCTAAATTATGTATTAGGACTCATGATCATGGGTGTGCAAGTATCCCTTAAGTTTCTTTAAGTGTAGTACTTAAAACTCCAATAAACTACATTTATACGTTAGTTTCTAATTCATGTAACTTAAAAACACGCTCTAGTTGGGCGCTGGTGGCTCATGCCTGTAATCCTAGCTACTCAGGAGGCTGAGATCTGAGGATCGCAGTTCAAAGCCAGCCTGGGCAGGAAAGTCTGCCAAACTCTTTTTTTTTTTTTGTCAGTCATGGGCCTAAACTCTGGGCCTGGGTGCTGTCCCTCAGCTCTTCAATTCAAGGCTAGCGCTTTACCACTTGAGCCACAGCGCCATTTCTGGCTTCTTCTGTGTGTGTGGTACTGAGGAATCGAACCTAGGGCCTCATACTTGCAAGGCAAGCACTCTACTATTGCACCACCTTCCCAGCCCTGCCAGACTCTTATCTCCAATAAACCACCAGAAAGCCAGAAGTGGCATTGTGGCTCAAAGTGGTAGTATACTAGCCTTGAGGTGAAGAGCTCAGAGACAGGGCTCAGGCCTGAGCTCAAGCCCCACGACTGACCAACACCAACACCAACACCACCACCAACAACAAATGGCTCACTCAAAGCCAGCCCAGGCAGGAATGTCTGTGAGACTCTTATCTCCAATAAACCACTGGGAAAACTGGAAGTGGCGCTGTGACTCAAGTGTAGAGCGCTTGCCTTGAGCTGAAGAGCTGAGGGGCAGCACCCTTGCCCCCCCCTGCAAAAAAACATGGCTCTAAAATGTTTTAGTGTCAATAAATAATATATTACTGCTTTAAAGAAAACTTACTTTAGAGATTAGGGATGTTAACACAGTACTAGAACGTTTGCTTAACAGTTAGCACAAACCCAGAATCGCAATAAACAAACACAAAAACCAAAATTATTTATTTAGGAAAACACAACTCAGGCCCTCATCCTTATTTGTATAAAAAAAACTCCTGAAGAACAAAATATGTACAAAATTCAGACTTAACCTTAAATGGGACCTATGTTTCTTTAAAAGTTCTCTAAGGTTTTGTTTGAGAAAGTAGGGAAGGTACACAGAACCACAGCAGAAAGTGAGGCCTGAGCACTGGTAGTTTTACAAAGCTCCAGATTATTTGAATACGTATCTAGTCCACTGCAAATCAAAACTTATGTATCCTATTTCTCTCAGTCCCTCAGAATTTCCTGTTCTTGTACTTCCTTCATGATCTAAATTCTCTTTTGGTATCATGAATCTAAGAGACAAAGAAGAACCAAAGAACCTGTTCTAGTTTGTTATGATCCAAGTTCCTACTTCTAAAAGGACAGTGATATCCAAATATATTTGTCACAGAATTGACAATGAATTGAGTTGAATGAACACATGCAAAGTTAAAATGCACATATGTGAAAGGCATTGAGAGAGACGGGAAAGATGGTTCTATTCAAACAAAGTACATGGAAAGGGCCTAAAAATCCTATTTTGAGTTCAATGCAGCAACTAATTCCTAGCACTAACTAAAACACAGGGTAAGCCAATAAAACCTATGAAGTTACAGGCATATCTTCCTATAAAAGGGTCATTTATGAAGTGCCTTTTACATATTTTTTCACACTTATTTCCTCACTTTAATCAGCACATGTCACTATGCCCATTAACTGCATGAAAGTATAACTAGATCTGTTCATCTGTATTCTGACATATTAACCTTATAAATATGCAAAAATCCAACCTGTAAAATCAGCGAGTTTATGAAACAGAACAAAATAAATCTGTTTTGTTCTGCATGACAGCAATAACAATAATAATAAAAATCACCACCAGCACGTGTTGTGGAGCACTTACTAGGTATCAGTTATGATACAAAGGACTTTCATGTATCATCTCATGTAACAAAACACAAAGTTAGTTGTTGGTCTTACCTAACATTTACTCAGGATTCTTATGATGAGAGACACATGGAACAGCTGAGAAAGTCAATGTTATGGTCTAAAAGGAATATACTGAAGATTAACATTTCAGAGGTGAAACTGTTTTGACAGTAACAAAATAGACTGTTGATAATATACTACAAAAGATATGAAAATCAGCAGAAGTAAGAAAAATAAGAAGTTCCACAGTTCAATCCTCTAAAAGACAATAAAATCACTCAGGACAATCTGGTTTTGTATACCTAATTCTTGTTTCTGAACTAACCATAGGTATATATTCAACTCAATGAAATTAATTTCAAGTTCTGTCTCCTGAATATAGCTTTTTCATAATGTTGCCCATCTCTTTGGGCTTTAGGAGAGGTTCTCTAGTCCGTAACTTTCCGTAAGAGCATTTATCACTTTGGACTCCTAGATAGCTAAGTTATATTCCTTATCAATAGAACCTAAATGAGTCAAAAAGTGTAAAACTATTTTTCAATATTATTACTCTACAGTTCATCCTCTGTATTTTTTAAGACTATACTTTTATTTATGATGAAATATAAAAAGAAAAAGAAAGGTAGATGACTAATCATAGATTTAAAACCTCTAAGTAGCAGATAAAATAATTTTGGCATTGAATTTTGAACAATGTATATCTAGAAGCAAAAGACTCATTATGAACAAATGACTTGTCTTCTATTACATTTTCAAATACGTCATCAATCTTTTTCTTACCTAACTTTTCATCTAATGTTAGTGTTTCTATTCTAATGCAGTTCTTGTACTAAATCGAATACTCTTTCTATTCATGCCCTTTTTTTCCAGTAACTGATAATCACACTGAGAGAGAATCCTCTCAAGTAATTTAAGTGGCTGTGGCACTTTAGTTCATTGACTGTCAAGGCAGATTTGGGTTGCAGCAGCAAGTCTTATATATCACTGTATCTTTTACATGCCTCCAGACACATGAATGCATATTCTAAAGCTACGAGGTGATAGAAGCACATTTAGGGGGCTACTGAGGACCAAATCCAAGGTTTCAGAGGGTGCCACATATTTAGGGAAGCACTCTACCACTGAGCTACAGCTTCAGCATCAGAAAGAAAATTTTAATAAAACTAAGCAATAAGAAAAAAAATGTGTAAGCCTTATTTAATATTTAAAGGATGTTGGCATAAAGCAGTTATTCATGTCTAAATAAAATGAATTCTGAAAAATTGTACTTTGAAACTTACCACAAATTTCATTTTGATCATTTTAAGTTTAGAGTTGATAAAAGTACATCTTGAAAAATGCTAATCTGTCATTGTACTGATATACGTTTAGCCAGTCAATTTGCAAGCAGAATTATGGACATGGCAATGAACAACTTCGTTAGTCAACCTGAACAAAAACTAATTTGCATCACTGACTAAGAAATAAATGTTAACCTCTATATACCAGGAAGCATTATTAATGAGTATGACATGAATCAAATAAGCATGAAAAGATATATTTCCTCATGCTAATCTATTATTTAAAACTTACTGTGATCTGTTGAACTTTATATTATTAAATTTTAAATCGAAATGCTTTGTCATATTGTCATAGAGAATTACTAAAAAATAAGAACTATGTCATGTCACTGAAAAATAAGAACAAAGCTATGTATGTCTGTCACTATAGAAACAGCATACTACTACAATAACCACAAGGAACAAAACCACAAAGAAAATATCTCTAACCAAAGAGTAGAGTTGTTACTAATTCAGCACCAGAAGTAATATTAAGACTTTAGCATTCAAAAGCACTCCTAATTCAGGGTCTGTCGTTTCATTCAGGAAACTACAATTACTTTGTTGTCTTTATAATTCCATTGCTGAAGTAACAGATCCTACATAATACTGTTTGAAATAAATAATGGAGGGAAGCAACTTGTATGGCTCCTACAGAGACATCTCTAAGAACAAAGTAGAACAAAATGGCTGTTCAAAGAGAAAAGTGTAATACTAAAGAAAATAATGGTTTTTCTTGAATTACCTGAAGGCCTATGTCTGAGGTCACCAGGGAATTAACCATTGCTTTGCTTACCAAATGCTTCTAAATCTTCAAATGTATTTTTAAGAAGGATAAATGTCTTAAAGATCTTGAATAATCACTTCACAGAGGAACTAAAATTAGACTTGACTGTTAATCCTCTTAGGAGTATCAATAGGAAAAAGATTCAAAAACAATGAAGCCTTTCTAGAACCATCTTGGCTATTTATGTTTCCAATGTACTTATGAACACTAAAATGTGAAATATATAAATATATAGTACCTGAAACTGAACTCTTGGACACTGAATCAGAGATAAGTTAGTACCAATTTTCCTTACGATACTTCGAGATGAACCATATGGCTTTCCAGACCAAAGTACCTGAGGAAGAAGGAAAAGAGCAAAAGTTTAAGTACAAGACTTTTAAAATTGTTAATACAAAGTATAAGGCTATTAACTGCATGACATGCTAACATATTAATTACAGCATCAGAATGTTATAAAAATAAATTAGTGTTCTTCAATGCAAAATTAAATAACAGCCAGGTGCTAATGGCTTACAATTATAAATCTGACTATTCCTGAGGGTGAGATCTGAGGATCCAGATTTGAAGCAGTCTGGGCAGGCAAATCTAAGAGACTTATAATAGAGTCAAGCAAGAGCACAAGATCCTGAGTTCAAGCCTTAGTAGTAGCACTTAAAAAATAGAAGTAAATAAATAAGAATAAACAGAGTTAGCTATAAAATTACATATAAATTACTCTATAAAAACATAAAAATAAATAAACATGCTTAAATAAAACCATACTAGGAACAAAAACTACTTTCAGCAGGTTTGCTTAACTCTTCTGAAAAGAAAACACTATTTTACCTGTTCTGCAACATTTTTAGCCTTAGAATTTTAGTAACATCTAAAAATAGAAGCAACTTTTGCCATAATTTTTTAAAATTAGTTCAAATTAGCTCAGAATAAGAATTTGTGTTAAGCATGTCATTTGCTGCACATGAGCACCTGACCAAGGATGAGCAAGGCTGAAATCCAGACGTACTGCTGCATTTTCTTAGAGGCCTAGTCTTTAATTTGCATTAAAAGATGCTAAATAAGCCAGCTAGTAGTGGTATTAATGAGAACCTTTCCAATGAAATAATGCACATAGGATATTAAGCTAGACTTACAGCAAAGACAAAAACAAACTCCCCAAGGCTAAAAGAACAAAATAACACACATGTAGAATGTTAAATGTTACAAATTATACCTTGGAACTTCTCCCCAAGAATATGATCTTTCCTTAAAAACTATCCATTTTGAATGCTACACCTGAAAGCCTGGACAGAAAAGGTAAAGAAAGGTAGTGTGCTATTAAAAGCAATGTCAAAAGAAAGGAATGAGAACATGGCTATTATACTTAATTCATCAAACTTTAACACTCAGTTATATCTAAAGACAAATACAAAATCATCTAAGTAGAGATTCAGAATAATGAACACCATTCCCTTTTTAAAGTTACTCCATGACCATTCTAATTTAAAGAATGGAATTATGGTATAACCAAGCAACTGATCATTAATTGTGGTGGCTCCAACATTTAACTCAAACTAGACCTTAGACCATTCCAATAGTATAGACAATGTAGAAAATGAGCACAGAAGCAATCTGAGTACTTAAATTTTAGCAAACAAATTCAATTTAGTGATACTAATATGAATCAGAGGTTCCTGAGGTTATAATTTATAAATAATCTGCCCCAATTTTTATATAATTTTTATCATATATACAAGGTTTCTGACCTAGGAAAGTTCCAGAAAGTACTAGATAGTACTACAGTGGCTATGCTAATTGACAAAACTGTTATTCCTTTGAAATGAAATAAAAAAATGGAACAGACTGGAAAATTGGTCAGCAGAAAGATAGGAGGATATCAATATTAAAATATAAGCTGGGCACCGGTGGCTCATGCCTGTAATCCTAACTACTCAGGGAGGCTGAGATCTGAGGATCACGGTTCAAAGCCAACCTGGGCAGGAAAGTCCTCGAAACTCTTCTCTCCAATAAACCACCAGAAAACTGGAAATGGTGCTGTGGCTCAAATGATAAGAGTGCTAGCCTTGAGTTGAAGAGCTGTGGGACAGCGCCTAGGCCCAGAGTTCAAACCCCACGACTGACAAAAAAGTGAAAAATTCGGGGCTGGGAAGGTGACTCAGTGGTAGAGTGCTTGCCTTGCATGCCTGAGGAGGCCCTGGGTTCGATTCCTCAGCACCACATAAGCAAAAAGAAAAAAGCCGAAAGTGGCGCTGTGGCTCAAGTGGTAGAGCGCTAGCCTTGAGCTGAAGAGCTGAGGGACAGCGCCCAGGTCCAGAGTTCAGGCCCCACGACCGGACACCCACCCCCCCAAAAAAAAGAAAAAAAGGAAAAATAATTAATTAAAATATAAATACTGTACAAAGAATTTAAGAGGGAAAGGTTACTCTGAAAGTGAGAGCAAAACATCATTCACACCAATGATCACACAGATTATTGCAGAGAGTCTTAATAATGTGAGAACTGAAGTGGAGAGACATGACTGAAAGAAAATTTGAAGCTTCACAGTCGTGCAGAATAAATATAAACCCCATCCCACCTCAACGAACACAGGGAAATAATTCTAAACACACAATATGTAAGCAAATTTTCTACCTTATACATTTTAATAGGTCTTGATTTTTTTTTAATATATCCATAAGGCAGTAGTAACTACACCCATTCAGTCATTTCTCTGTCTTCTATTCAGTCACAAGTCAAAAGTCCTATGATGTAAGAGACATGGAATGCTATTTGTCCATCACTATGTGACAATTACAGTCTAAAGTGAATCTTCCTCCTCTCCAGGAAACAAAGCTCTTGCCTGATCACAAAGAAGACAAGAAACTCACAAAGAAATACTTAGGATTTGCCAAGGTCAAGTATTAATGCTTCTGCTACCTTTTAGTATTCCTCACTGTGTAAGCTTCAGGGTTAAATTTCCACTATTATCTTTCCATCTGTTTAATATTATGAGGACAAAATACCAGGTGCCTGATAAAAAGAGAAGTGGCCAAGGATTTAGCTTTTAATTATAAGTAGTAATTAGACTATTTTGGCTTTGCCTACAAAGTTAAAAGAAGGAAAAGAACAGATTGCTTATATGATTAGTTTTTCAAGCACACACAGTAGATTAACATAATGTTCTGTTGTGAATTGCATAATGCTAAACACCAGGAAATATGAAGCAAGGATCTGATTTGGATAGCAGGAAAACAATAAGGGGACAGTAGCTTACTTCCAGGAACTCTAAAACTAGGCCTTTTTTTCTACTCTTTCCTATTTACTCTCATGGATAACGAGAAATTATAAATGGCTGCAAAGAAACAACACATGGTCATCATCTGGGCACTGAAGGCTGCATGACCCAAGTGTATCTCCTATCCTAACTTGTGCATTGTAAGTATATTGATTTAGACTCTTTCTAAAGTTAAATTGTCGTCAATATTTCCTTAGATGTAAGAGGAAAGGCAGGGAGAATACTTGTCATTACTACATCATTTGAACTCATTAAGAATTAAGACAATTCAGTTAAGACAATAACTAAATAAAACAATATACTTTATCTATAAATATTGCTCTAATCTAATGAGCCTGTTTCTAGTAATGACAGTCCATAACATTTAGCAACAGTGTTTGAAAGTGATGCCAGCAAGGAGGAGGATGACAACAAGCAAGCAATTTGTTCTTTTTTAACACTGAAATGCTATTGTCAAAGTGTTGATTTGTAAGGCTAGAATCTGAAGCTGTCATCTTGTCTCATCAATGATAATCACACCAAGTTCTCTGTAGTAATTCATTTGTTACAAACTAATCTATATTATTTGAGAGAAAATAGCCAGCAAGAGAAATTATAAATTTAATTGTATGTACACATCTTGAAATTACATGGCAATTTCCGTGCTTATGTAACATTTTTTTTCGGGGAATTAAAGCCCATACCATTAATCAAAAATACCGATCCTGGGGCTTGAATCAGAGCTTGGGCACTGTCCTTGAGCTTTTTGCACAAGGCTAAAGCTCTATCACTTGAGCTACAGCTCCACTTGCGGTGATCTGCTGGTTAATTGGAGATCAGATTCTCACAAACTTTGCTGCCCAGGCTACCTCTGAACCACTATCCTCAGATCTCAGCCTCTTAAAGTAGCTAGGATTACAGGCACAAGTCACTGGTGCCTGACATAATTAATCAAAAATTTTAAGGACATCAGCCCAGCATCAGTGGTTCCTGCCTATAATCCTAGTCACTCAGGAGGCTGAGATTTGGGAATGTAGGTTCAAAGCCAGCCTAGGTAGACAAATCCACATCTTTACCTCCAATTAATCAGCACAAGTCTGGAAATAAAGGTGTATGGGAAGCAGTAGTGACTAGCCCTAAGCAATAAGCCCAGTGAAAGGGAGGGCACAGTACAAGTCTCTCTGTCTCTGTCACACACACACACACCTTTTTAAGAAATCTACACACACACACACACCTTTTTAAGAAATCTACACACACACACACACCTTTTTAAGAAATCACACACACACACACACACACACACACACACACACACACCTTTTTAAGAAATCTATGATCCAGGGCTGGGAATGTAGCTTAGTGGTAGAGTGTTTGCCTAGCATGCATGAAGCCCTCAGTACCACATAAACAGAAAAAGCCAGAAGTGGTGCTGTGGCTGAAGTGGTAGAGTGCTAGCCTTGAACAACAACAACAAAAAAGCATTCAGGGACAGTGACCAGGTCGAATTCAAGCCCAGGACTGGAAAAAATATCTATGATCCAATAATGTATAAATTTTTAATTTCAAAGAGCCAAGAATAAAAAAATGTATGTTAAGAGATGTAGAGGGAAAGATAGATAAAACTAACAATTTCAAAATCTCTAAATGATTATTAAAACCTCCCTTCATTTTCTTCTTCCTTACTCTAAACTCCTAGTCACATTCACATTCTTCCTCAAAGATACACAAGGAAAACAAAGGAATGATTCCTGTATACTACTACATTGCTAATAAAAGTTAGGGATTTTCTATAACTTCTTTTCCAAAATAAAACAGTAAAACTAGTAAGAATCACAACTAGAGTTTTTTGGGGGAGGAGTGGGTTTGAACTCAGAACTTTGAGCTTGCTAGACTTGTGTGCCACACTTCTAATCCTGTATTTTACTGGATATTTCAAGGACAGGGTCGTCCTTTCCACTGAAGCATTCACCTAAGCAGAAATCCACCTACTTTTCCCTTTCTGGTATCACAGGAGTATGCCACCATATCCAGCTTCCCTCTATAAAGACTGAGTGTGAAGACTTTTCTGCCCAGGTGAGGCACAATGATCCTAGATAGAATCAGCCTCCTATGGACCTTGGGATGATAAGGACACAACACTATGCCCAGCTATAGAATGGGAAGAAGTCTAACCAACTTTTCTGCCCACTAGCCCTGAGCTGCAGTCCTCCTGTTCTCAGCCTTCCAAGTAGTTAGGATTTCAGGCATGAGTCACTGTCACCCAGCTTGCTTCCACTCATCTTTTCTGTAAGAGAAAGTCTTTTTGCTAAACTGTAAGTGATGGTTTTCCATGTTATCCTAGCACAATAAAGCTGAGGCAGGATAGTACATCTGAGGCCAAACTTTGTTATAGTGAGACTCTACCAAAAAAAAAAAAAACCTGAGTAAATAAACGAATTATACAATATTTTTTCTTAGGGATATAAATATAAGAATCAATTGAGGAAAAAAGCTTGGGCATAAATGAGTGTGTTTTAAGTTCAAAAGTGGAGCATGATTCAAATGGAGACCTGCTCTAAGTTCAAACTTCATTTAAAAAATTTTTTTAAAGGCAATGAAGAGATAACATAGGCCACAACAACATAAAAACTTGGAATTAAAAGCAGGCTCTATCAATTTACTACCATAATAAAACTGATCAAATTATCGACCCTTTTTGCTTCTATAATCTTATCTATAAAATAGATTCATGAGTCCATGAATATTAAACAAGTTAAGGTGATAATATCTTCTCCCTACCCCTGTATACTAAAGATTTAACCCAAGACTTCATATATACTAGACAAGTAGCTCCATCACTTGCACTCCACCTCTAGTTCTTTTGTTTCTAATTTTGAGATAAAGAGATACCAAAACCACCACGTCTGGTTATGATATGCCTTTAATAAACATTAGGAGCCACTGGCTGCCCTTGAGCAGAGCCTAAAGGGCCAAGAAGCAGGAGTCCGTACCATAGAGGGCAAGTGGTCATCATGACAAGTACCTGAGTAGATTGTTGTGATGGCATGCAGATGGTAGGCAGAGCAATAGAAATTTGCAGAACTATGAACACCTACAGTGCACAATAAATCTGTGGATGGCTCCCTTGTACCTGCAGCCAAAGGCTGGCTGTGCCAAGGAACCTCTGGATAAGGAGCTTAGAATACAGGCCCAAGAGGACAGAGAGAAAGCCATTGCTCAGCTCCTCCCATACCAACTGGCTGCCTCATAATTTATAGCTTGCTAATAAATGTCCTTTCCAAAACTAAATTAACTCACCATCTCCTTCCATCTGAAGAAGCAAAATACACTAAAAAATTTGAAATTGGTCTCTTATATCACAATTCTACCAGATATAAATTAACTTTGGTACTAGCCATTAAATCCACTGGCTAGCTGTCTAATAGCAATTCTTCTTATCCCTCTTTTGCAGATGAAGAATATAACTAGCAGAAACAAAGTTGCAATAAATTTTGTGTTAGTTTAAATACAGGACCTACATTCTTGCCACTAAAGTTTACATCTTATTAAAACTATTAATAAGTAGAAATGGGCTAGGAACATACTCACTTGCCTAGCAAGGCACTGGGTTCAGTCTCCAGTACCTCAAAAATAAATTTTTAGGACATAGAGAGACGGAAAAGAAGTGGAAGGGGGAAGGAAAAGTAGAAGGAGGAAGAGAAAAAAAAAACAGAAGCTTCTTTCTGGAAGCAAGAGGAAAAGAAATGGTTTTGGTATCAGTACTGAAATGTTAAATCTACCCTATGTAGCCAAGTAGTGATAAATAAATGAGAATGGTAGTATAGCTGCACTCAGTGAAGTTCAAACATATGAACATGTATCTGAAGAAGTTATCAGTAACTTATTTCCTATTAGATATACTCAAGCTAATTATTTTAAAAGTAAAGAGCTGTAGACAAAGACAATTTTAAATGATTTTCTACTTATTTTCTCCAAACAGGTATAACCTGGAGAAGTTTAAAAAATTTAGAATTTAGACACAAAAGTCAAGTTGTATATTAAGAACCATAATCATATTCAAACCAATTAACCTGTTTGTATCTTTAATAAAACTTAATTCCTTGTCACAGACAATAAAACACTGAATTTGAAAATGTCAAATGGGTAGTCTACTAATGTGTTTGGCACAGTTTCTCTACTAACTTTACAATGGATCTCAAATATTTATTTAAATATTAAGGACAAAACTAGTATCTCTGTCATAAAACAATCAAAATAAACTATTTTTTTCTTTTTAGCTTAACTGTTACATATTTTAGGAGACATCATTTATCTTTCACTTTAAACAATTTTTTTTTGGTAAGTCGTGGGGCTTGAACTCTGGGCCTGGATGCTGTCCTTGAGCTCTTCAGCTTAAGGCAAGTGCTCTACCACTTGAGCCATAGCACCACTTATAGTTTTCTGGTGGTAAACTGTAAATAAGAGGCTCACAGACTTTCATGCCTTGAATTGTGATCCTCAGATCTCAGCTTCCTAAGTAGATAAGATTACAGGCATGAGATACCCGCCAAAGTCATTGTTTTTAATGGTCACATGAATACATTAGCAGCTTTTCAATACATTTGATAAAATTACTCTCTTATTCAAGATGCTGGGAAAAGATTCACTGTATTTTTTTTCCATTTTTTTTTATTACCAAGCATTAGTTGAAAAGGATTTTATTGTGATGTTTCCATATACATATACAATGAATCCCAATCAAACTATCTTCTTTTATCATTTCTCATTCCTCTTAGCCCCTTCTTGGAACAAAATGAATAGGTTTTATTTTTATTCTATTTTTATACAAGCATACAGAATACTTTGATCATACTTACCACCACCCACATACTCTCTTCACTCCCACTTTTTTTTTGTTGTTGGCCATGGGGATTGAACTCTGGGCCTGGGCTGTCCCTTAACTCTTCAGGTCAAGGCTAGTGCTCTACCACTTGAGCCACACCACTACTTCTGGTTTTCTGGTGGTTTATTGGAGATAAAGAGTCTCATGGACTTTCCTGCCCGGGCTGGCTTTGAACCACAAAAATCCTCAGATCTCAGACTACTGAGTAGCTAGGATTACAGGCATGAGCTACCAGTGCCCAATCACTCCCACTTTTATACCCTCTCCACATGGAACTTTTTTCACATCCTGTCAGTCGTAAGGACTAGACTGCACAAGTGAAAGAAAACACACTTATTTGACTTTCTCTGTCTACATCACTTCATGTAACAAGATCTCTAGCTCCATAGTTCTATGATTTAAATCATATGCAAATTAAATAGCACTTAAAAAGTGAATTCAAATATTGTTCCTATACAAATTAATTTCATTTTTTCAAAAAAGTTCTTAAAAATCTAAATGCCTACCCTTTAAAAACAAATTCTCACTCACCGATTGCATGCTTATTCCAACCTGTTGCAAAACCATCCTCATCAGGCACTTAATCCAGCTAAGCATTTAGATGGTAAAGTCTTCCCAAATTTGCATTTCAGGTAGTTCAGGCATACATGGCAGCACATGATCCATAGAGCACACTGAAAATTTTAATACATTGCATTTAATGTGTTGTAAACTGACATGCTTAATTGTAAACTCTTTGTACAATTTAAAGATAATTTAAAAAATTACCTCCCCCCCAAAATTTTGCTCATCAGCTTGATTTCAATAACTGTAATTTATTCACATCAGGTAGTTACATAAGGAAGTTTCCTTTTAATATGGTCATTGAACCCGGATCAGTCACTTCCTCCCCTCTTCCTCCTTCCCCAACCAGCATCATGAGTTTCCTTGTTCATTTTCACACAAACTATTACAAGATTTTTCATGGATGTGTTTTTACCAAGCTAGGTTCCAATTAAAAGTCAGAAAAAAATCCTACTATGGCTAATTCAAATAAAAATACACTTATGAACAGATATCTGATAGACAAACTACAGAGGACTTAATTTATAGCATACATAGCCAGGAAAAAATGTCTAAAACTGCTGTACAGAGTGTGGATCAAGTGGTAGGAGAATATGCCTTGTAAGCATAAGACCCTGAGTTCAAACCCCAGTACAACAGGAAAAACAAAACAAACAAACAACAAGTATAGCAGAACTGGTTATGCTAAGACACTACTGCACCTACTATTGCTATCACTGATGTAACAGAATTCACAGTTCCTCCAGAATGAGAAAATTTTCACCAGTTCCTGAGATGCTGTTCCTAAAAGTACATTTACATGGCTAGTCTAAAACTCATGATTTCTCACAAAAAGGAATCTAGGAAAAGAATATACCTGCAATAACAAACAGGGTTTGCTTGCCACATAAAAATCAGGAAGAAAATAATTGTACCATGAACAGGAATCCAGATATTCAAAAGTCAAAAATGCTTTTGCACTCTGTAGTACCTTCCGCCTATCCCCAATCACATATTACATACCTGACAGAACTAAAAGGTTGGCTTGTCTCATAAATTCAATGAAAGAATAATCTTGAGTAAAAACTGCACCAGAATCTAAATCCATGCACTGCTTCTTTTTTTTTTTTTGGGGGGGGGGGTCCAGTCGTGGAGCCTGAACTCTGGGCCTGGGCGCTGTCCCTCAGCTCTTCAGCTCAAGGCTACCACTCTACCACTTGAGCCACAGCGCCACTTCCGGCTTTTTTCTTTTTGCTTATGTGGTGCTGAGGAATCGAACCTAGGGCCTCAGGCATGCAAGGCAAACGCTCTACCACTGAGCCAACTTCCCAGCCCCATGCACTGCTTCTGTACTACATAAAAACAAACTCCTCCTCCTGCCCCCCCAAAAATCCAGCTAAATATAGTATGCTTTGTGATATAGCTGGTTTACATTGAAACACAAGTAGTCTGTGGTCTACAACTGGAACAGAACTTTTTAATCAGAGAATAAGGACTCCATCACTGATCAGACATCATATAACCTACCCTGCAGCTTCAGACAGTTCAGATATTCTATTACAGCGGCAGAACCTAAAACTATCTAACTTCCTCTCCATTATTTCTTTGCAGATAACCAACAGGTAACTTGATAATAGAGAAGTCACCCAGGCAAAGATTCTTCAACATAAATGTCACACATTGATCTGTAATTGTGCCTTCTGCCCTCCCCCCTCCAGTGTCTCTCCTGTCCTTCTTCCCAACAAAGTGCTTGGGTTTCTGCCTCCTCACTTCACAAATCTCACAACATCAATGTCCTACAGGTCATAAATTCTCTCCTCCACTTTATTAACTTTAATTACTTGACATTTTCTAGTTTCTCCCATGTGCATCTAAGCTAAAATCCCAAACTGGACTTTTCTCGTTCTGTTGTTTATGTGTTCTCTATTTGAGAAAATAACATCCACATTGCCAATTATTCCTTCTTTCCTTTTCTACAATATAATTATATTCTTCCTCCAAAATAGATATTCATCTTCACTGTATTACTATTCTAAGTTTTCACTATTGTAAAAATTCATTAATTTAACCACCTGTCCCACAGTTTTGTACTGTTCTCTGTTCTTTGCTATCTTTCCCACCTTCATTTGATTCAAGCATACAGGTAATTACAGAAATTAAACAGATTCTTTTCATCTTTTGATTTTTCTTCAATATTTTAACTCTATCTCCATATTATCTACATAATTTCTCTATCTTTATATTAAACTGATTCCTGCTAATTTTTGTTCCAGCTTAGCTATATTTCCTCCTCTATCACTGACATAAGAAGTCAATAAACCAAGACCAAGGTCTTCCTGTATTGCTCTACTAAATAATAACATACTAAAGTAATGTACCTAAACTGCAAAAAAGCTGAGATGCTCTGGTGAATTCAAAACCCAGTATTGCCAAAAAGAATTAAAATAAGTTTGCAAGAAAGGTTCTATTTCCAATGAAAGACTTTCCAATTGAATGTGAAGATTTCTATAACATAATCGTATAGAGAATAACCTAGGCTGTTTCTTCATGATGAAGTTCTATATTTTTATGAAGTCCTATGTAAATACAGTAAGTATTATTCTTTAGTATTATTAAGTATTATTAAGCTATTATTATTTCATATTATATTATTTATATTATATTAAGTTATTAATTATTAATTATTAAGTATTATTATTTATTTTGAAAAGAATTAAAATACAAGCCTGAGTCCCATCACTAACTGACATAACTCAGTTCAGAACTAGAGTACAACCCTGTCAAAAAACACAGGAAGAAAAAGTGAAAGCGAGAAACAGAGAGAATGAATATCGTAAGTGATAATAGTATTTTTCACTGAGTAAAAATGCAGCACATGGGCCCAAAGACATAATGCAATTTACTATAATGTTGTGCAATAATTACTGGCCCTTGAAAATTATGTGTATTGCCTTATGGGATACACTCAGTAAATTATATCTTTCTATATGAATAATTTTAGTTTTTGAGATCTTTTTTTTTTTTTTTTTTGGTTGTGGGGCCTGAACTCTGGGCTGGGCACTGTCCCTCAGCTCTTCAGCTCAAGGAGTACTCTACCACGTGAGCCACAGCGCCACTTCTGACTTTTTCTGTTTATGTGATGCTGAGGAATTGAATCCAGGACCTCATGTATGCAAGGCAAGCACTCTACCACTGAGCCACCTCCTAGCCCAGTTTTTGAGATCTTTAAGAATACTCACTAAAGCATTCGGTATGAAAAAAGAAAAGTTAAAAGGCAATCTAAACATTAACTAATTCAATATACCCACCCTAGATTTAAGACCAGTAAAATAAAAAATGATAAATGTTTTAAGAATTCACTTATTAAAGACAAAATGCTAAAAAAAAAGTTTCAACTTAAATGTATGTGTGATTCTATCTTTTTTTAAAAAGCAAGGTTGAGAATGTACTTAGTTCAGTGATACACATTTCACTTATATATTAAGTCCTGGGTTAAATCCCAGTTGTCACCCAAAAGAAAACTAAAACAGAGCAGTAAGAACAGTGGCAAGGTAGGTATCTATGTATATGTACATACACGTATACACACAGAAGATTGGTAAATACATGAAAATACTGCAATGAGTATATCTGTAGCTTAATTATGAGATCTCTACTTATACTTTTTTCTCTGTGTGTGTGTTTGTGTGTGTGTGTATGTGTGTGTGTGTGTGTCAGTCCTAGGGTTTGAACTGAGGGCATGGGCATTGTCCCAAAGCACTTCTGCTCAAGGCTAGTGTTCTAACACTTGAGCCACAGCTCCAATTGCTTGCCTGCTTGCCTGCCTGCCTGCCTGCCTGCCTGCTTGCCTGCCTGCCTGCCTTCCTTCCTTTCTTTTTTGGTGCTTAATTTGAGATAACAGTCTCAGATTTTCCTATCTGGACTGGCTTCAAATCCTGATCCTCAAATTGCAGCCTCCTGTTTAGCTAGGATTATAGGCATAAGCCACTTGCACTGGGCTACTTTTACTTCTCTTTACACTTAGGCACTTCTTTGTTTTTCTTCAATAGAGCACTGCTGTCATTGGGGGGGGGGTTGTGTTTTTATTTACTCTTGTCATTACGTAAATGAAATCTAAGAAGTAGAAACATAATCTTGTGAAAAAAAAAATTTTTTTTTTTGGGTCCGATCGTGGGGCCTGAACTCTGGGCCTGGGCACTGTCCCTCAGCTCTTCAGCTCAAGGCTAGTGCTCTACCACTTGAGCCACAGCGCCACTTCCGGCTTTTTTTCTTTTTGCTTATGTGGTGCTGAGGAATCGAACCCAGGGCCTTGAGCATGCAAGGTAAGCGCTCTACCACTGAGCCACCTTCCCAGCCCTCTTGTGAAAATTTTTAAAGTCAAACTACTATTTTCTAACTTCAAATACTTATCCTTGATTCATGACTTTTTTTGGTATAACTGGATGTTCTTTTAATGTGTTCATCTAAACCAATTAACTTTATAAAAACTTAATTTGTCCACATCCTAAACAATATCTATAATCAAAGTGTGTTCCCTTTTTGTTGTTGTTAGTGTCAGTACTGGGGCTTGAACTCAAGTTTTGGTAGTCTTAGCTTTTTTGCTCAAGGATAGTGCTCTACAACTTGAGCCACAGCTCCACTTCCAGCTTTTTACTAGTTAATCAGAGATGAGCCTATAGGATTTGTCTGCCCAGGGTGGCTTTGAAACTAATTCTCAGATCTCAACCTCCCGAGCAGTAGAATTAGACAAGTTTTTTTTGTTTCAAATACACTTTAAAAATACATTTATACTTAACAATGGGAGTATAGTCTAAGCTCATTATGTATGCTCACATAAACCCAGATGCTATGTATAGGTTAATCACTCAACATAGTTTCTCGATGCAATTAAAAAATATAGTACATGGTCTGTATGAGGTTGCTGCAGCCATAACACAGTATATTACTTTTCAGTAATCTCTTTTTTAAATAAGTAGGAGAAACCAGATGGTTGTGACAAATATCTGAGATTCTTATTTCCAATTAACCAAGAAAAGGCCAGAAGTGAAGGTATGGCTCAAGTGGTAGAGCAACAACCTTGAGTGCAAAAGCCAAGCAGAAACTCAAGACCCTGATTTCAAGCCCCAATACCAACACAGACAGACAGACAGGATGGATTAAGTGTAATGCCTTCTCAAGAGAAGAAGTATAATACAGAAAATGCATAAACCAGTCACTCGTGATCACATATTTATAACTATATGAACTTTACTTTTATGTAACTGCAGCACAGCAGGTTTGTTTATACCAGTATCATTAAAAACAAGTGAGTAATGCACCACCATATGACATGAGAGTTATATCATCAGGTGTTAGGAAATTTTCAGCTAACCTTATAATATTATTGGATCATTGCCCTATATCCTTTGTGAGATCTGTTGTTGCCCTTCCCTGTGCAGTGTATTTCCTGTAAGTAACTGTAGTTTGCATCGCTACCTGAGCCCAAACAGATTGGGGTCAAAGAGATCTGGACTAAAATAAATAGAATACTGATCTCTGTTAAACTAAAATTATTTCTTAGCAAACTAGTCTACTGCCTGTATATATTACATATCAAATTAGTACTTACTAGTATACAAGACATCCTTAAATAATAAAAGTTAAAAATCCTAATTATACTGCTTTATATTAATGTCTATTACTAATGTGTTACAATATGTATTTTTCAAAAATGGGAAGTTAATGTTCAAGAGGAAGTGTACTCATTACCTCACTCATGTAACTGTAACCCTCTGTATAGTATCTTTACAATAAAAAATTTAAAAAAATGTACTCATTATCTTGCACATGTAATTGTAAACCCTCTGTACATTGTTTGCAAAATAATAAATGAACAAATAAATAAATAAATTTAAAAACGAGAAAAAAATTTAAATAAACAAAAATGGGAAGTTAATATGATTTAATTTTCCTATGTATCTTTTATATTTTAACCACAATTTGTTAATCAAAACCAGTAGCATAAATTACTGGTAAATGATATCAAAAAATTACATACAATTTATCTGGTAATAATGGATTGCAGTTTGACTAGTTAACAACTTCAGTATCTTAAATGAAGGAATTGTTCATAAGGTGGCTGGCACATTCTGGTCCCTAAGACATCAGCCAAAAGAGCACTCCCAGACATAATATATATGTATATATTTTACTTGCCATTCTGCCACTTTCACGGTTTCTGTCAGAAATCTATCCTTAAGAATATAAAGTACTTGCAAACCAAAGGATGAAAAATTAGCTGGGCATGATGGTATACGCCTGCAATCCCCAGCACTCAGGAGACTAAGGCCAGAGGACTGTGTCTGTGGAGCCAGTCTGAGCTACATAGTGAGACCCTCTCTCAAAATAAAAAAGGAACAAGGGAGAGAGGGAAGGGGGAAGGAGAAATGTTAATCCAATTTGTTATTCATTTTTCCTATCAAACTGGCAAAGACAATAAAAGGGACAACTCACTATGGGTAAAGGCATGGGCAACAAAGCAAGAATCCTGTCTCAAGGAGTTGGAGGCGTGGCTCAGCTAATAGAGTCCCAGCTAATGAGCAAAAGCATTAGGTACCCAGTTCAAGTCCTGGTCTCCAACAACAACAGGAAAAAAACAACAAAGAAACCCTTGTCTCAAAAAACTGAGTCTTGGGTTGGGAAGGTGGCTCAGTGGTAGAGCACTTACCTTGCATGCCTGAGGCCCTGGGTTTGATTCCTCAGCACCACATAAGCAAAAAGAAAAAAGCCGGAAGTGGCGCTGTGGCTCAAGTGGTAGAGCGCTAGC